TTTTTCGACATTTGCGGTCAATAAGGTGCAGAAAAACAATAATTTGAAGAACTGACCACAAGCTGACTTAAATTTTGTGATTAAATTTACAAAAGAATATTTGAAACAATGTTTACCAAACACGAAAAAAGTCAATTCACTCGTCTCTTGGCAAAAATCAAAAAGACAAAAGCAGACATTCTTTTTCTAAAAGATTGCAAAACTTACAAAGTGAGGCCTAGTTTTATTAAAGTGAAATGCAGTGTTCAAAACTACAAAACCGAGAAAGTCGTTAGACATGCAGAAAAGAAATGGCTCAACCTTGAAATACAACACCACTACAGCTCCTTGGATAAAATGGAATTGAAACTTTACAACCTACACCTAAGTATGACAAAGGGCATTGACGACACTCAATTCCAGGAATTCAACAAATTTCATATTGCATCGATTTCGAGATGTGACGCTGTCTTCAAGGAAAAACGGAAAACACAAAACAAAAAACTGGAAAAGCTGCTATCTACCAGAACAACAACTACTTACACGCCATCAGTGAAGCCAGTATCTGACTTAGTAGTTAACATGTCCAAGGAAATTTTCGGTGCAGACGAGTTGGAATTATTAAACAGGGGGCTAAACTTCACAGTGAAGCCAAAGAAGGAACCAATTATCGACATCATTGCAGATATAGAGTCCTCTATACAGTACAAAACACCAGATGTTAAAAAGAGCATAAGAGACGCCGCATTACCGCTCATCAAAAGTTCACAACAACAAAAACACAAACATAAAAACAAGTGGCTTAATACACTAAACAAATTACAACAAAAAGACGTTTTCTACATGAAATCGGACAAAGGCAACAAAGTAGTAATAATGGATAAGCAGGAGTATGATAAAAGAATGAAGGAATCAATCCAAGAAGACAATTTCTCCGTTTCCAGTAAATCACCGCTTAACGCTATGAAAAAAGATGCCAAAGTCGCTACGGACTCTATTTGCCAGGCCTTTGGTGTGAACAAATACCATTTAATTGTTTCAAATCCCTCCGTTCCTTTGATGTATGGACTCCCAAAAGTTCATAAAAATGGAAGCAAAATGCGGAAAATCGTGTCGAACATAAATTCACCCCTTTCAAACATTGCCCGCTGGTTAGTGAAGGATTTAAAGAAATTCGGTTCCTTCGATGGTTACTCTGTAAAAAATTCATTGGATTTTATAGAAAAAGTGCGTGACATTGAAATTGAAAAAGATGAAATAATGATTTCTTTTGATGTTGAAGCCCTTTTTCCGTCGATTCCTGTCGATACGGCCATTGAAGCAATTCAAAACCACTTAAATAAATTCAGTTTACCTGAAGACAAGTTCAATGCATACTTAAATGCTATTAAAATCTGTATGAAACACAATTGCTTTCAATTTCGCGGCGTTTACTACAACAACAACTTCGGCTGTAGCATGGGTAACAGTCTATCACCATATGTAGCAGAAGCTTTTATGTGCAATTTCGAATCGCAACTCAAAAGTGAAGGTGTTTTGCCACGAATTTGGCTTAGATATGTAGACGATACTTTCGCCATAGTGAAAATATCCGACATAGATAAAATACTCGGAACACTCAACAGCCGCTATCCGAGTATCAAATTCACTTTTGAAAAGGAAGACGAGAAAACAAGTTCTCTACCTTTTCTTGATATTCTTAT